TAATGCTGAAATGACCTTTGCCAGTAAGACTTTGACCTTCAACTGCATCCGTCCATAAATGTACGTGTTTTCCTGCATTATGAAGATTTATCACGTTTTCAAATCTTTTTCATGAATGCATTAACACTGATGAAATCTAACCAAAGCGTCTTATCTCCATACGCATGCCAATGGACCAAGGAAGAATGCCTTCAGGACATTCCCGTAGAAACATTAACATCCTGAAGACATAATTATCTAAATGAGGAATAAATGGATATGATTCAATTTGGAAATTATGTTTAATATCCCATTTGAAACAAAAAACGAAAAAATGAAATATCCTGATAAATATCGTTTTATCACAACTGAATTAAAGTATAATGGTATCGGGGACTTATCAATGAAACATGTTTTCAATAACATTAACCTTAATTGTTTCATTATCGACGTTTTGAAGATAAATTCCAAAGCAATTCCTTAATGTAATTTCCTAAGTGTAACACTAAATAGATCGTGACCTTATGTTAGGAAAGACACATACGATATTATAATAGAATACGTTTACTATTTTCCATTTTGAAAGGAACAGCTGACTTCACCCCTTGCCATTTGTACAAGGCATGTTTGTATTCTTGTTATATGCATTGTTTATGGCTGCAGGGTTCTGTCTCAGGTTTGTTAACGATTAGACTAATATAGGATGACACATAATAAAGAGATATCTATCTAAATATTCTAACCATTGTTACGGCTTTAATATTAGGGTAACATCAACTAAATACATTAATTTATCTTTGTTTAGGGAGTCGTGAAATCCACTTAAGTCATTTCGTGGACGAGGCAATAATATTATCTTCCTTAAATACATTTCACTGCTTGGCCTAATATAATTTTGTTAATGATAAAGCATTCATAAACAAACATAAAAAGACTTCAGTTTAGTTAATTTAGACCAAAATTCATTTTCAAATATTAAAAAATAAGATAAAGGTTATTGCTATGAGTTTGCCTGCCATGCTATACTGATACAATTGTGCAGTGGAAAACCACTTGTGTTTTCTAGCTCCACTCCAAAAATAGGTTGTATGGTCAGCCAGAGGGCATGTTGAATGGCTGAACGATTGATTGGTTTAGCATGACGCATGAAGTAGATAATAAGACACGTAATGTTTATGTGTATCATCTGGTTTTAAATTGGTTTTATATTGAATACGTTTTTTTGTGTGAATATCATCTGGTTTGAATTAGTTTTATAAAGTTGCTTTTGCAAGTATCGTTTAGTTATGTTAGTTTTTAAAGTATTTTTTGAGAGTGTCATCTGGTTTAAATTAGTATCATAAATAGTTCATTTGTGAGTATAATCTGGTTAGAATTTTGTTTTATAAAGCATTTGATTTTGTCTGTATTGTCTTTATTCATTTGTAAAAGTGTTTGTTTTTTGTAAGCTTTAAGCTCGTTCAAATTGATAATATATAGTATTATTATTTGTCAGTAACATCTAGTTTAAATTGGTTACATTTAGGATTCATTATAAATACGGAAGATAAATACACTTGAGTAGGAATTCGTTGCTTTAGGTTTCATTTTTTCTTTTTTCGATTCATCTATCATGCAACTACAATATGAAGTCGACCTTCTGTGAAACGTCTTCATGTACTGTATACTAGGAATTGTTTTCTTTTTTTGTTTTTCTGTAGTTTCATTTTCGCCTTGATCGCCCGATGTAATAAGGGTGAATTTACATTGAAGATAAGGAAATAACATAAAAAGTAGAAGAAAACTTGATTTTACATTACTGCATTTATTTATTTTTTTGAGGATAAAAGACTAATATTCCCTTCAATCTAGTCGTATTGTCAGCAAAAGCACGTATTAGATTAAAATAATATTTTACGCAAATTAAACATAAAAAACATAAACAATTGTATCAATATTCTGGCTTACCTTCTTAAAACTATCACTGAATTTATGTCACTTATATCAGACAAATTGTAAGTTTCTAATAAATATACATGCTAGCGTAGCAAACACTACATCGTTTATTAAAGAAAATATGTTTTTATGTTGCAATGAATAAGAACAAACATTTGAAGACACTGATGCATGGTATTGAGCAAGTTAACGTTTTAAAGTCGTAAAGCAGTCATAATTCTAGAGTTCACCCGGCATAATATTCAAGTATTTTATAGTTGCAAGAGGGAATTCTCAGGAATAAAGAAAACATGTGTTTTGACACTGGGGAATTATTTTCACAGGCTAGGAATAGTCGTGTTGATCAGTATCTCGATATGTAATAGTTTGTGGAGGTTATACAAAAGATATAAATATAATAACACACTGACATGGTCATGAATGATTAAAACAAACAACATCACACTTGACTTTCGATTCTCAAAATAATTCTATAATAGAAACAGGACATTTTCCAGTATTAATTTTTGATGATAAAATGTATTGTTAGCTTAACTGAATACTGTGTTTACAGTTTTTATGACTAAACGAATCATTTAAATCCGTCACTTTCGACTCTGTAATCGGCACCAATAAACTCAGTCTCGTACCCTACAACAGCTAATAACACCAATGTAACGATTCATTATTTAATTGTTAGCTGAGGTTTAGTTGTTTCATAGTCGACACTATGTATATGTAACAACAAGAATCACACATCACCCCTGTATACCTTCTATTATAATTGTCTTCTTGAGATTTCTTCCACTAAAATCTACAATTCTATTAAATAATTTTTATTACTTAGCCGCAGCCGATATAATTATATTGGCAATGAAAAGTGTAGCATTCGTTTAGAGTGGTGACACTACTTTAACATATAGGTGATATCTCTATTGCTATTTTATGATTACACAATTAAAGTATATATGAACTTTATCTCTTAGAGATAGCATTTGAAGGCAACATAGCTGACGTGCATCACGAGGGACGTTCAGAACATATCTAGAACATTAAATCGTGCAGAAGAATATTCGAACTCTATATGCCATTGTTTATGGGTATTTTATTTATTCAAGACGTAACCTTGTGCTACTCTTAACAGGAAGGATGTGATACAATTAATACAAATATACTGTTCTGCTTTAAAATCATTCTAACATGACAACATTACACCGGTGTTTTTAGCGGCTGATACAATATTGGCACTTAGCACTTGTAACAATTTACGGCGGCAAACAGATTACAGGGAAGGTCAATACTAATATCAACACCACATATCAATATCATGTATCAACCATCTCTGTGCATTTTCTTGTGAGTCGTTTTATCCTGATTAATACGCGACTGTTAAACCTATTTCTATATATACTTTAATAAAACACATTCACACTAATCAACACCTTTAAAAACAATAGATATTTTACCAAATCAAGAAAATTCCTTCTAAAACCTGTTGTGAGAATTCAATTTGTCTTTCATTTTGTTTTGGTGTTTTATTAGTGTCTGTTGTGTATTGTTTTCATCGACTGTAGGTTTTGTAGTTTTCTTGTTTATTGACGTTTTGGTAAATTTATTTCCCATGATTTAGAACGTTTCTTGGCAAGCCGTGTTGACGATTAAAGCATCGGACATGTATATTTAAATTGCATTCTTATTCCCAAGAGACGAAACGTGTACGACGTCAATGTACAAAATTCTTTAAGCCTGAGTACTTTTGATGGATTATTTTACAAATAACAATGGTTCTATTCGCCCAGGCTTTAGAGTTCTACACTCGCATATATATAATATATTGTCTTAGACATTCCCCATCCAATAATTTTAATGGACAATCGTATAACTTTATAGCACTTAAACAATGAACTACTTCCTCTAAAGACGAGGTACCAGTATCTCTTTCCGTACAGTGTTATCCGTTTGACTCGTGGGCAGACTTTAGCAGCTTCTGTGTCTTGGAGGTAAGCGTTGAGAACGTGAATTCTCACTTGTCAGAGGATATAAATAAATCACTCGAGAATAAAAAGCGATAATGTTGACGTTTCAATCAACAAATTCATCGTCCTCGTCGGTAAATATGACATTTTTTGTCCCCTGATCGACGAGGTGTTTGAGATGTCCCATAAGGCCTGAAACCTATCGATCGTAGCTGTATGTGGTCATGTACATATATGGTTACTACCAAAGGTAAATTCTCTCCTTGAGTGATGTTTATTGATTCGGATTAGGTCTAAGTATGCCAAAATACAAATACTACTGCTACTTCCGCCTGTGGTTCTATTTGTGGAAAATATACAATATAACCAACAGAAATGGATTCTGTTTGTTAATATTAATAGGAAATATAAGTCGTGATTACAAGGACCTAGTATAGGGAACTCCGTACTACAGCATATAATACACAACTTAACATTGATGGTTGTAGATTAAACAACCCATTACCTATACTCTTGCCATTGTTTACCTAGGAAGTAATAATGGTTGCCATTACTATCTCTACGGACGATTTAACCATTGTCAGGCGATTTAATGCTTCTCAAATATTGTGAATAATTAGTCTGTGTTATATATTGATGTGGTATCTGACACGCAGTGTATTTGTATCGGTAGTACAGACAAACCGTACTCGTTTGACTGTATAAACTGAAAGCATACATGTCTGAACTCAATGCACCATGCTGTTTGTAACAATTACTGACAATTCCACTCTACTGCTGCTCTACCTGCTAAACAACATCAGAATTCGACGTTCCCTTATATCTCATATATATTGCTTTCTTCTTCTTGTGACATATTATATCTACGTAAACAAACTCCGATATCGCGAGCAATTTAATTGTCATAAAGACGATTATGATATTATGTCATTTTATGAATATGAATGTTAACTCTGATATCTTTGCCATTCAATGGTTTTCGAAGTCGTTCCTTAAGTCTGAGCGACAGATTGACGCTTTACTTTATGAATTAAAAAGAAGTTCACGTGCAAACCTTATTTGTGACTTAGATCGTCATATACCTACAAGCTATCGTTATCTCCGAAAGTATGTAAGATCAAAACCACTTACCTTTCGCAACAAAGAGAACAAGCACATACATTAAGATGTATATGTGTCGAAATTCGCTCTGAACCATTGTGACAATCAGTATTCACAAAGCTTAGCCACGTCCCGGTACTTCCACGTGTGAAGTTGATAAAGTCCTTGGTACCAGTCCAGCACTGAGCGGCCTAAGAATGACAACGCACGTGTTTCAGGTAAACAAATTAGCTCAGCCAATTTTTGTATCAAGTTTACTCGAAGGCTTATAATATTAAAATGTACTTTTCTCAGCTTATAGAAATATATAGTGTCCGGAGCTCTCAGAGTCCCCTTCCGATTGGATCGATGATTTGTAATATCAGCCAATCATTTTGTCGGTACCATCCCTTGTTTGGATTGTATTTGATAGTAACGTGTATTTGTCGCTGCCGATCACATAGACCGTTGCCTTGCTGTCTCTGATTTACACGACGGTTCTACTGCACAGACAACAGCGATACGGTATCACATCCCAATATCTTAGCCCAACACGCATGTGTTGTTCAGGTCACGGTCTCCTTAGTTTTGCATTAACTTAGAAATGTATGGGAGACATCTTGGTGAATACAAACATCCATTTGAGTAGGGGTGTTTGAAACTCTACTCACTCAACAACACAACTGTATTTATCAATACATGTACTATGTTGTTTTGAAATAAATACTTGTTCCTTTTTTGTAGAATATCTTTCTTTTAATGTCTTTTTCTTTTCTTTCAAGACTGATGGACCTGGTTACACAACAAGAACTGTTGTCCTCTAATGAACGGTCCTGATCATACTAGGCCAGATACCCAATTTTGGCAACATCGTTCATTCTGTAATGTAATTGAAGGCCAACCTCTACGTATAAAACCCATTAACAATTAATAAACAGCTCGGAGATCACGCTTTGGTATCCAATTATATTCCAATAGATTGCTTGTAGTTTCTCATCAGTAGTCGGATCCTCGACGAACCTGTCCATGTCTATGACAGAATACGGTGTACGGTTAACGTATCTGATATTACGGATTACAGATATCAAGGACAAGACCTTTATTATCAAGGATCTGTCGATGTCCTCGTCCAATAAATTTTCGGGTAAATCGCTCCGCGAGTGTTAAAGTTGGCGTAGTCTTTCCTTATTGTGACGTAGACAAATAGTCTAGATTCATTAGGTGATATTTATGCTCCTGAACAGAAGAAATACAATCAAGGTTAAACGGTGAATACTTACAAGGGTATTCTTAGACATAGCTTCGACACGGAATAACTTAAAATCGTTTCTATTTCATTGGATTTTTTTTATGAAATAAGCTTTATTGACAAAACAAGATTATTCATCGTCAATTTTGCATCTAATACAATTTCATTTCATCACGACGATCAATCGGAATCATATTATACCCTTAAATACACTACGGTGCAGTTTCTGGCACCGCCACATTAGAATTAATGTAGCCTTGTTACGGTATGCTGAGTAGTGCGACACCCTTCAATATAGCGTTGTGTATGTATGTAAAACCATTAGAGTTTTCTGCTAGAGATTTTCAATCATAGGTTTCTAATTGGTCCGGTCCTCGCTTGGAGGACGTGCCATTACTTAGATATCACATATCCGTCGATAAAGCAAAAGACATTTTCCCTTCCGAAACATCTGGTCCTATTATCATTTTACTTTTGTTTTTCAAGAGTATCTATGTAAATCCTTTTTATATTTTATATTTTGCCTTTTTTTCAATTTCCAGTTCAAATTATAGCTTTATTGCAACTTTGTATTCTCTTGAATTTTGTAACATTAAATTGGCATTTTCGACAAATTTCAACAATTGTGTACTGCTTTACATCATACTGTAAATGAAGAAAGCTAAGGAATAAATCTATATTTAACATTATATAAACCCTTTAATTATGTATCTACCAATGAGCATTAGTGTTATCATATCATTGTGCAATATTTTGTACAACTCACCTATCTGGAATAAGTCTCTCTAAGTTATATATACATATACCAAATACTACAATCAATAAAGACGGAAAACATTACATGTTACTCAAAGTGTCACCTTACTTGAACGTTGAAGAACTCACTCTGTAGCATCGAACAAAGCTTGGTCATTAGAGAGGTATTTATATAACGATCACTTTGGTAATTGCGCCTTTTCCCTCCTTATCCTTTTATGTTATCATTCCATAAAAAAAATAAAAAAATAAATAAATATGTAAGTGAAGCAATCAATGAACATAACAAAAACCGTGTGTTATAAACACATTGAGACATCACTCATATCATTTGCAAAAATATTAACTTATTGACATAACACCAACACTATGTCATGATATATGTCAATAAACATAAGCCAGATATTGTGTAATACAAATTGTCATACATTGTAACAATTGATAAATATAACCTAGACATTGTGAAATACAACTGGTAATACGGTGTACTGTATAAAACAATAAACATGACTAAGACACTGTGTTATATCAATTGTAATACATTGTATGAAACAATAAACATGATTAAGACCCTATATGACATTAATTGTAATACATTTTATCAAACAAAAGCTATAACCCAGACTCTGTGTAATACAACTTGTTATACATTGTTTCAAACATTAAACTTAGCCTAGACTCTGTGTAATACAAATTGTTATACATTGAATCAATCAGTCAACATAACCCAGACCTCGTCTAATACAAATCGTATATTGTTTCAATCAATAAACATAATCCAGACCCTGTGTCATAATATCAATCAATAAACATAGATTAAAAAAAAAGATTTGTTTTACGTAGAATTCTATGGCAATCAACAGACACGCGAAAATGACGTGTAACGTGCATATCAGATAACTCCAGTCTGGCAACGGTCCATCTGGACCAATCAACAGACAGGTGTATAGATTCTCTCCGGAATGCGTCTGTCAATAACATATATCCCTTTTTAGTTAATGAAGGAAATATAATAATGTACAAGTCCAGAGGCTATCGACAGACACAAAATTAGGCTTTTTCATATGTAGAGTATATAACCCTACTTCTACATATACATATATTCACTATACTGATAAAAAATCTAAAATCTATAAGGTATGCTAATTGATGACAAAGTCAAGAGGTGCACAAAATTGTCCGCATTTATAACGGGAATACATAATTCTTTAAGGAAATATCGCTAGTTTGTTATGGTTATTATACATCACAAGGATAGGATAGTATTTCATACATAAGATGACAATTGACAGACAATAGTAGTATACTTGTGCAGGATTTTCGAAACCGAGTAAAATATTTTTATACCACGCCAAATAATTGCTTAACGATTAGTGTTTTCTACTTTCAGCTGACATTTTTTTCTTTTCATTTCGGATGTTAAAACATGAGGTGTTCCGAATGCATTTTCTTCTAATTTGAATGCATTATTTCGCCAACGGGAGATCTGAGTTGGGTTACAACGACGTATAAGTAGATATCTACCTATACAAAGATTATTTCGAATCATTTCCATGACGAATATTTCTTCCTTTTGTACATTAAAACGTCTGAAATATCACAAGTGAAAAATTATCGTCTCCTATTTTAACTAAATAGTGACATCAAAAAGTAACATGTTATTCAGTTGTAAATGTAACAAATTCGTACAAAAATGCTCCGATATTCACATGATTTGCCTAAACGACGCTGAGTTATTATACATAAGTCAATCAGGTTTCAGCGCACCAAACATCTGTGGAATCTCGCCGAAAAGCTTTCAAACAAAATCAATTGATTAAGTAGCATGGATTCATACAATATGTTGTCTTAATGACAATTGACATGAACATTTCCCTAGCAATTAGACGTAATAAGGTTTCAGAGCGACTGCAACTAGATGAACACAGTGATCTACTATACGCTGATTATTACAAAAGGAAAGGCACACAAATATTCCCTCTGGCTTACCGTGCACTTATGAGTGTCAATAGAAAAAAAACCCGACACAGCTAGACTGTCTCTTACCAAAAAAGGAGCATCCTCGATATCCAGGGGTTACGCTCACTTTCGCTTTCTACACAGAGCGAAAGTGAGCGTAACCCCTGGATATCGAGGAGGAAAAAAGAGATACTTATTATTGTTAATAGAAATGGAGCGCAACTAAGTCGGTCGCTGATGACCAGGGAGCTCGATTGGTTAGGGCGGTCGTCTGGAGTTCGGAAGTTTTAGGCTCGAATCCCAGCTCTGGCCATGCATATGATATTGCTAGCTAGGACTCTTGTATTCAGAAGGTCCTGGTGCTGAATGCGGGCAGCACACTTTGGTTAGACTGTCTGTCTATAGTTCTGAGACACGGATTCAAATCCCTGTTTATCCTGGCATATTCCCTCTCATGTAACGTAAATGACGTCACAATTAAGTTGTCTTTGACCTGAACACTACATGTAATTGATGTTAATGAAAAAGTCACACATAGATTGTCTCAAATAAATGTCAATAGAAATGACCCCGCAACGTCAATGTATTTGCTACGTCTTTGCGAGGAAACCAGATAGAATATACTACGATTGACAAAGTCTAAATAAAATTTCAATATATTGACAGTGACATATACGGGTAACCAACAGAAAGTGTCTGCATGAGCATTCCTGTTATTCAGCGGTTGAAACATGTCAGATGATGTTTAAATCCTCAGAATGCGTTGTCTGCAAATGAATGTTATCATGCCATTTTCAACAGTAGTAACATTTCCAAATTTTGATAGTTGACATATATATTGTATGCTGCTAACATTTTGAATAAGTCTTTACTAATATGGTGATTTGATGTTTATATTTGTACTTCAATTTCAGTCGAGTGAATTCATAATCATGTTAGCTTGGTTTGTTCGTTAAACAAAGAATTTTCTGTTACCCATTTTGTCCATTACCTCTTTTTTAATCCTTCTTTATTGCCTCATTAAAAGTAAAACAAATAAAAATTTCATAGAAAAATGAGCGAAATAAAATGATATTAATCTTAGTCACAACCTCCAAACATAAAAGCTGACACGGTTTTGTTGAGAGTTGGAGTGACCATATAAAATATTTGTTTTATGCATTGGTTTTAAACTAGGATAAGAACATTTATATTTTTTTTTATTAATTTCAAAAAGAAACACCAATAAAATATCAAACAGACCAATTAATGTGAAAGATATTCTGGAAATATACCAAAATTAAATTTAATATTCATTACCAGGTAGTGA